CAGGGAGGCTAGCAAATGGGGCAGAGGGACCTCAGAGCCCATAAAAGCTGCCAGATTTAATAATAAGATAAATGTTTGCTGCTCAGGGTTGGAGAAATGGCTCATCCTCAGCACTGGTGCAAAAGCTTGCCCGGCAGCACCATAACTCCAGTATTGGGTAGCAGTGGAGCTTACTGGCCGGCCAGTTCAGTTGCCGAGCTCCAGATTCAGTGAGAAACCCAATCTCAAAAATAAGGTGGAGAGCAACTGAGGAAGACATGAGACATCAGCCTTTTCACACACACATGCATCTTACACAGACATACACGCGTGCGCATGTGTGCGTGCACACACACACAGTTTACTGCTTGCACTAGAGAAGGCCTATAAGAAAGGTAGTCTCCTCTGCTTCTGCATCACCAACTCCCAGAAGCACCTGGGAGGCCATGTCCTTGGAAAGGGAAAAAAGAACTGACTCAAGTTTACACAACAAATTGCAGAGCTAGAAAGAGCCTGAGTCTTTCCGAATCTTAGACTCATCTGAACCACAGCCTTGAATGCAAGAGGAAGGGGAATCCCCCAGTACCCTGAGGGGTGGAGAATGGGCAGGAAGAAGAGGGAAGTGTGAAGCAGGGGAGGTGAAGGCTGGCCTGACTTTCCTGACTGTCTCCAGCAAGCCCCAGCAATGCAACTAGGAGAGCAGCTGAAGCAGAAGAAACACCAGAGACAGGATGACCAGTCGGTCAGACATGCTCAGATGCCAGTTCAAAAAAGAAGCACCCAGCTAAAATCCAGACTCCATAGAACACACTGCAGAGAGAATACACTGAGGAGAACATACTGTAGTGAGGAGAACACACTGCAGTGAGGAGAACACACTGAGGAGGACATGCTTCAGTGAGGAGAACACACTGAGGAGGACACGCTGCAGTGAGGAGAACACGCTACAGGAACACACTGAACTTTGAGCTGGCTGGGGGTGTGGGGTGGGGGACCAGGGACAGCATCCTGGCTACCCTCAGATGAAGAAATATATAGGTCTGGGATGATGGTGGGGTGGGGTGAGGTGGGCAGGTGCTGGGGAAAGGGAGCTTTGGTTTCTGGACAGTTAAACCAGAGAGGTATGGCTGAGCCAATGCAGGAGGCAAAGAGTGATCCTTCTGAAGATGAAGTTCAACCCAGGCCCAGCTGCCACTCACCTGTCCCCGAGGTGAAGCCAGGCTGCTGGAAGTTGTAATTCTTGATTTCACTGTACCAACGATCAGCCACTTCCTTTCCTGTACAGAAAAGGCATGTGTGAACCCAGCCATAAAGTCTACACACTCCCTCCATCTTCTCCCACAGACCCCAAACCACCCAGCCATTCCACACCGGGATGTCTGACAAAGTAAAGCATCAGGGTTACTCCATGCAGACTCCTGGGGACTCAGGATGAAGACAGAGCCTTTGTTGGGATGAGCACTGGCCCAAGGTCAAGCAATGGTCCCCAGATGAGGTTCTGTGGCCTACATCCTGCCACAGAACTGCTGTGGATTTTGGGCAAGGCCTTTTCTGATCTGGGCCTTGAACACAGTGTATCCCGAGGGCCTTCTAGTGATGGTCTTAATTTCTGGGAGACTGTCCTCATCCTACCCACAGGAATAAAGGTAGTTGAGCCAGTAGGCCAAAGGTTGTCACTGCTACTAGAAAGGCCTTCATCTTGAGCATTCACTGTCAACAATCCCAGCATTTCACTGGGATCTGTTGATCTCAGAATCACAGCTCTAACTCGGGACATAGGGGTCAAGATGAGTCACTCTAGGACCTTGTTACAGTCTAGAGTCTGATTAAAGTAGGTTCTAGGAGGACCCATGATTCTTCATTTCTACCAAGTTCCCCACTGTTGCTGTTGGTTAGTAAAGTACCTACCAGCCGCACCAGGGGACCATTTAAAGGAAGCTGAGGCCCAGGTCCTTCTTCAGCTGTATTGGGGTCTCTGGAGGAGAGGCCCAGAAGTTGGGAAAACTTAAAATCACTCCAAAGACTGCTGGGTAACCAGGAGACATCAACCCAAACCTCTCTGTGTAGGAATGGGAAAACTAGGGCCAGAGAGAGTAGTGACTTGATCACCATGCCCAGGGATCCAACACAAGGCCAGGCAGGCCAGAACAACACCCTTAGGGCCCAATCAAGACTCCTTCTCTCAGCCAGGAGAGGCCACAGCCTTGACCCAGAGTCTGCAGGCTGAGGAAGAGGCACAGAGGCCCACCATCAGCTGCCTTCCAGGCACAGAACTCTTGGGGAGGGGATGGCAGGTGGAGAGGGGTGGTGTACTAGGGAAACCAGGCAGCTTGGGGGATCCCTTGGGAGCTCTGGGGAATGTGAGGCTGGAGGGTGGGGTGGGGGAGAGTCATTCCCTCCTGGGGCTTGGAGATTGTAACATCTCTCACTATTTTCCTAAAAAAGCTGCTTCAGGGCTATAGGAGCCAGAGACTCAAGAATGTTTACTCAGTGTTCCCTCCCAGGTTCTAGGCAGAAAAATCATCTTTTCTCCTTTCTTTCTTTCTTTCTTTTTTTAAGAAAAGAAAAACGGTCAATTATTTTCTTCTTTCTGATGATAACAGCAATACACCTACAGTGTAATAATAATTTAGAAAAAAGCAAGACAGAAACGGTGAAATTGAACTGATGCTGCAGTCTCCAGCGCCCACGCCTCTGAATTGGACTCCGGCGCCCGAGCTGTCTAGTCTGACTCATCTGTTCCGGGCTCCCAGCTTCCTGGCTCTGGGCCAGCCACTGAGGTCAGCCCAGATGCTGAGAATTCAGAGGGTGAGTCTCCCTCCCTGGGCCTGTGGCCACACCATCACTGAGCCACGAAGGGCATAGTGTCAAAAGGAGTCTGCAGACCTCATCCTAGGTCCAGCTGGGCAGAGAGGAGAGGAGCCGAGAGTATCCTACCTGTTTGGTCGTAGGATGCCCACGCAAGGTTCTCCCCACACTGGCCACGACTGGACTCTGGGCTGTGCTTGAGGATTCTTGTGCTAGCCAGGGCCTCTGAATACCTGCATAACATGTCTCTTCAGAGCAGGCTCAACCTAGGGACCTTCCCTGACCCAGCATCTGAGCTTTGATCTAGTATGGTTGAGCCGCCTTCCCTGTCTGGGCTCACCAGAGGGTCAGCGGGGAAACACCGTTCCGTGCCTGGGCCTCCCAACAATCCCATTTTCAGAAAAGCTCACTGAATGAAGCTCAGGAGCAAAGGGAACCCGTCTGGGCTGGCAGCAGAGTGGTCGTTAAGCCTGGCTGTATCTGAACCCAACCACATTCCTTCATCCACCCAGGACCCCTCTGTAAGGACTCAGGCATTATGCTGGCCTGCCCGTCACCTGGCAGAATGCACGCAGGCAGTACCCTGGTCAGCCCAGGTGCAAAGGACCCCTTTAAAAGAAAGACCTCTGCCTACTTAATCCTCTCTTTTCCCTCTCAGGACTTTCCTGTCTCCCTCTTCTCTGTCTTCTCTCTGTCTCTGTGCCTCTTTACCTCTTCTTCCCCACCCCACCCCCAATAAAACTTCTCACTTAAGCTCTGTCTGCCTGGCATGTTTGTCCTCTGCCTTGGTCACCCTCGCCTGCCATGGAATCCACCAAGTCCCCCTTGCGCTTTATCTTAACACCCTCCATGCTGCTGAAGCAGCTCCGCGAAGGGCTAGCATCCGACGGGTGCTGAGGACTCACTGCTGGGCTTCCTGGTTGAGCTTCTTGCAAAGCTTGAGTGGGGGGACACCGTGCTGAGCCCGGTACTCGTTGTGGGCCTTCAGGACCTCGTTCTAGAATGACAGAAAAATGGAGAACAGCTCAGTGCAGAGGGAAGACCCACCAAACGCATATTGGCATGCTTCAGGACACACAGAGACGCCGGCCTCTTCTCCATCCTGGTTGCCCAGCACTGTTCCACACCAAGATTCATTTTGTCTCCGTCACCACGATCACCCCTATGTCTCTACAGATCAGAGCTCTGCATTTTGTAGGGTCTTCTGAGCCATGTTGAGGATTTGAATCTTTATCTGAGGCAATGGGAGACTATTAAGCAAAAGTGGGGGAATACGGTGATTCAGAGAATGTTTCTGAAAGTTGTTGTTGGCTGCTGAGTGGTGCTGACGAAGGTCCACAGTTCGTCAGACATCTTTAAAGGTGACTGGATACCTCAGACTAGACCAATGGAGTCTGGGAAGGGCTGGAGTTGGGAGCTCAGGGAAGCATAGCTTAGCTAGGGTGGATAGTACCATACTGAGTTGCTGAAAACAAAAGAGCAAGGGAAGGAGGGAGGGAGGGAGGGAAGGAGGGAGGGAAGGAGAGGCCCAAATAAAGCACCACTGAGGGATGGAGTAAGAGGAGAGTACAGAAAAGGACTCCGTTCCGATGGGAAAGGAGGATGCTGTCATCTGGGTGAGGCTGTGGCGAGGAAAGGGCCTGTGCCCAACTGAATGATGAATTCGGCAAAGCAAGACCAGAGGGCTGGGGTTAGGGAAGTTGGGGATGAAGAGCAGGAAGATCAAGAGTGGACAAAACCCACACTGCTTCAGATCTGAAACAATCCCATCATCCCAGCATCTTTCTCTATTCAGTCCTTATCCCAAACCATCCATCAGTCCCTCCAACCAACCACCATTCACCCA